GGGTTCGAGTGATCATCGACATGAAAGGCTTGAGCTTGAGCCAAGTCACTTATTTCTCGCCAAAATTCGCTTCTGCAATCGTCGATTTCGTCCAGCGGAGCTTGCCCTGTCGACTAAAGGGCGTTCACATTATTAATCAGTCGTTCGTGTTCGACATGGTGTTTGCGTTTTTTAAGCCATTTCTGAAGGTAAACCTCAACTTTTATTTATTTTTAAAATTGTCTAGCATTACAAGAAATGGGTAGAATTAATTAAAATTATTTCTATAATTTACTCAGGGGAAACTTCGTGATAGAATATACTTTCACGGCAATGACCGATCGTCGATACTGGCTTATTTTGATGCGAAATGTTTACCAAAGAAATATGGTGGTGAATATGATTCTGAGACTACGAACGTTGGCGAGAAACTTTACAAGTTCTCCAGTTCATTTGACGATTACTTTGCTGGTTAGTATAGTCTTTTTTTTTTTTTTTTTGTTTTTTTTTTGTTGCTGTACCCACTATTTTGCCGTGGTGTAATATTGGCGTTTTTGAAGTAACGCTCGAGTGCTGTTTCAAACGTCAATCGTGGAGAAACAATATATAGTTGTATACCTACGGGACTCGAAAACATCTCTCGCGCTCGTTCTATATTTAAATGCATGAATAATCAACGAGATGACTTCCACTCGCACAATCTGAGTATGAAAACATTTTTTATTTTTTTGCTTCAAAAGATCAACTATTCTATTAACGTACGAATAAGCAGAGGCGCAATTTGGCTCATACTTGAAAATTTGGGTTGAACAAAAGTCTCATCAGGACGCGAGTGTTTTTGAGAGCTCATCGAACAAAGCACAACCCGATCGAATTACCATGCACGTGGATACAACACTTTTTTAAATTTAAAAACACGAATCGACTCGAGTTGCACGATTGAAGGCGCGAGCGAAAAATTGATCATCACCGCCGTACCACCATTTTTGTACGTATGTACACGTGATACCGAAATTCCTCGGGGAAGCAACAACACACGTATACATTAAAGTATCGAACAATGGCGATTGCTCCTTACCTCCCTGGAGGGATTAACGGGCCAATTACAGAGTACAGGACAGGCAAGACGTGAAAAACAAACAAAACGGAGAGAAAAGGGTAGAGCACCTGCTCCTAAATCGTATCGGCGGATGCGGGTGCGCTCATCGCATCGGCACACCATCACCGTACCAGCGTCCACGGGGAGGTGAAAAATAGTACGAGCGAATGGAGCGAGAACAGATCCAATGTATCTCTTGGTGGGCATACACGCGATGCGACTACGGTGGAAAAAAAAACAAAAAAAAAAAAAAAAAAAAAAAAAAAAAAAAAAAGGGCACTTCACTCGCGTTGGAGTATGGAAAGGAATGAGCAAAGAAACGAGACGCCCTAAAAGAACAATTAGCAATAGATACACACACACACACGTGATTTTTTTTTTTTTATACACGCACCTCAGAAGCAGAAAAAAGAAACTCCGAAAATGTTGATGGCACCGACTCTTGTACACTGCGGAGTAAAATGAGAGTAGTAGCGCGCGCAGAGAGGCAGAGGTACCTATACAAAGAGGCCTCAAGGCGAATGGCAGAGAGCCCGGCGACGACTGATGCATCGCGCGCGTTTTAATTCTCCGAGCGGCCTGTGGTTAAGTATATAACCATCATATGTGCATGTGTGCCGCCTAAGCTCATAATGCGGGTTCTATACAGACGCGTGTGTATGTAAATGCGTGTGCAACGCCAAGTACATATATACCTACACACACGAGCTCGCTGCCCTAATCGTCTTTGCCAACAGCCCGCAAGAGAGGGTGGGAGCATCAGGGAAAAGAGCCAAGTCCGAGTGCAAGAGCGCTTCCTGCAATTATCGCGCGCGCGACCGCGAACACGCGCATTCATCGCGCTCATGAGAGGTATATAGGCGCAGGGTATACGTGCTGGTGGTGATGGACATAGTAGAGAGAAAATATCGGACCCTCTTTCGCTCGCTTTCACATATACATAGTGATTAGACTAATAAGTACGGGATGAGGCGATATGGGGGTAGGACCTTTAATGCACCTCTTTCGCGTCGCCCTTTTTTTTGGGGGGTACAATCAAATAAGTAGTCCGTCTCTTCGCTGCGTCTACGGCTCTCAGATATCTTTTGAATGTAAGGAATTTTGTTTTTTTTATACTTACTTTGAGCTCGATAGACGTGTAAATGTACGTTTAGCGTCGATATATTTGGACAGGAGAAAGAAAGCAACTTCTATACGTGTACACTGATAAGATAAGTCTAGAAAGTCTAAAAAATAAAGATAACATCAACTTTGAAAATACAGAAAACATTCCCTGAATACTTTCCTTATTTCATATTTTCTTGTACTACATACAGTTTCGGTTTCTTGTTTGGTTATCAATTTTCAACGGTGAAGCAAGGCGCGCTTCGCAACAAGTAGGTATACGTTATAATTATATCGGAGACACAGATAATAAGGCGAGACTTTTAATGACTCGACTCGAGGCTATAATGTGGGTGGCTGTACAAAGCGCGTTACCAAGTGTACGTGTTCATACGAGTGGCATTATTATTATTTTCAACCAAGCGATAATAAAAGTTTTCGAAGAATGTATTTTTAATGAAGCTAAATATATCAGCGGTAATAGCATAAAAAATATATCGAAATAGTACTTTGGGTGTAAACTCTGAAAACAGTCCCCCCTTTTAGTACAAGGTACCTGGTACTTAAAGTATAGTGCTTATAGTTTCCAACTTTTTGTAAGTCCATCTGATATTGATTTGATCGCGAATAAATAATTGATGCTTAGTTGGGAGTTTCTCTCTTGTACATATATATATATATAATATACAACTACATGATTTTCTACTCAGCCCGATGATGATTATAACAATTATTATTCAAGCGGCGTTCAAAGTTGCGCGAAAGCAAACGAATAATTAACCATAATCTCCGTCACCTTTCTCCCGCGCGATGTACGCGCCTCCTTCAAAATTAAGTATCTTAGAAAGTTCCATGCGCTTCGCCTTGGTGAATTACGGCGTGTACAATTAAAATCTATCTTTGGTCGGGGGAAAAAAAAAAATTTTCCCCGGCAGACGGGCCTAACAAG